GTTTCCAGTTCAGAGAATACAATCCCCAAATGTGTACAATCTCTTCCAGGAGCTGACAACAATTAGCCAACAACTCTGTAAAGGAACTATTACCCCCTTCGGTTTCCAGTTCAGAGAATACAATCCCCAAATGTGTACAATCTCTTCCAGGAGCTGACAACAATTAGCCCTTCAGAATTCCTTAGTAACATATTTGATTAAGAAGAAGACTTACATCGGTTTGGCTCTTGGCATATTTCAAGATTCCTTTGTCCAGATAGAAAAATCTCTGTAGGGAAGAAAGTATAATTCACTAAGACACCCCATTTAGACATCTTCCTTTCCCTCGGTCCCAATTTTCAACTTCAAATTAAATATACATGCCTACAAACCATGTGATGAGTGCGTGCAAATAAAGGTGAAGCAAAGACCAGCGTCTTACCTTGTGCCAGCCTTTTAAGGGCCATTTCCTCTTTTTCAGCAAAAATCCTTCCTGAATGGGAGGCTCCTGGGTGTAACTCATCTCTCCTCTCAGCCCTTCCACCACTTCCCAGCTGTCCTGTGCCAATAAAACAGTTCGTGCTAAATGTCTACCTTCACAAATAATAACAACAGTCAGAGACACTTCATCCTACTGGTAAATCCATCCAAGATGGTGAGCTTGGCTAGGTTTGTTGGCGAGAAGAAGTTAAAATTTAATTTTCTTTTTTTTTTAAAAAAAGATTTTATTTATTCATTTGTCAGAGAGAGAGAGAGCATGAGCAGCGAGCAGAGGCAGAGGGAGAAGCAGGCTCCCTGCCGAGCAAGGTACCCGATGTGGGACTCGATCCCAGGACTCTGGGATCATGGGACTCGATCCCAGGACTCCGGGATCATAACCTGAGCAGAAGGCAGATGCCTAACCGACAGAGCCACCCAGGCGTCCCTAAAATTTAATTTTCATACAGGTCCTGGACTTCATGGATTTAATGGCATCAAGTTTGATTTTTTTTTTTTCAAAATGCCTCTCCTAGAAGGAAGTGTTTCTCTCTCTTTAGTGCTTAAACATGGCTAATGGTAAAGCTTTTACTGTCAGTTCTATTTTTGTCCCCTTTGACATCATCACACAGTTACTGTTTGCTCACCACTAGACTTCAATCTGAATTTTAACCAAAACCTACAGCCATCAGGTGAGAATATGGGAAAATTCTTAAGAACTGGCTGAAAAGTATGAGACTGAATGCAAGCTGGTAAACATGACAACATGGTCAAAATAATGATTCAGTTGCAAGTTAATCTCTTTAAATTCTAGATATTTAAATACTGGAAATCCTGAAGCATTAAAAAGGTGCTTTTGAAACAAGTATTTTCTTCCTCTTTTTCCAGAAATATTGTCCGCCACACCCTTCTTTTGTTTCAAAAACTTTTGGGGGGAAGACAATTATTGCTGTACTGAGCTGTTTGTAATTTTGAGGAGGTACAAACTGTTATTACGATTAATCCTCTGTTGTTGGCTATCTAGTAGTGTTAACTCATTGATTGAAAAAGGATTTAAAAGGGAATACAAAAGAAAAACACTAAAAATTCTGAAAATTTATTTTTAAGTGCTTGAAAATGCACAAAGCATTGCAAAATTACCCCAAGATAGACCAAAATTGGCAATACCCATTTTAGAGGCTGAGATAATGGATTTTTATTTTACTAATGGATTAATATACATGAAATGCACAAACCTTAAAAGTACAACCTGATGAATTTATACACCTATCCCATCAGTAACTACCATCCAGATCAGAGAGAAACATTTCCAACATAGGATAATTAAGTTTTGACAAACATGTCCTTCCCCACGCCCTCTAGCTTTTTTGAGATATTAGTGGCATATACCATATATGAGTTTAAGGTATACAATGTGATGATTTGATACACCTCCATTCTGCACGCCTCCCTGCCATCACTACCGCTTTTTTGTGTGTGTGTGGTGATAACACTTAAGATCTACTTTCTTAACAACTTTCCAAGAATATAATATGGCATACAGTCACCATGCTGTACATTAGATCCCCCAGAACTTACTCTTCTTATAGCTGGGAGTTTGTATAATTTGACTAGCATTTCACCATTCCCACCCATTCCCACCCCCAGGAGACACCATTCTACTCTCTCTTTCTTTGAGTTCAGCTTTTTTAGATTCTGCATATAAGTAACAACATACGGTATTTGTCTTTCTCTGATTTATTTCACTTAGCCTAATGCCCTCAATGTCTATCCATGTTGTTGCAAAAGGCAGGATTTCCTTCTTTTTTGTGGCTGAATGATAGTCCCCTCTGTGTGTATCACGTTCTCTTTACCCATTCATCCACTGACGGACACTTAGGTTGTTTCCTTGTCTTGGCTGCTGTGAGTAAAGTTGCAATGAACGTGGGGTGCAAATATCTCTCCAAGAGACAAATGTGTCCTTTTGGCCAAGATTTTATGTTGACTAACTTGCTCTTAGTTGAATCTCCAGACTACAGGCGAGGATTACAGGTAGAGGCCAGAGGAATTGGGAGATGGACAGTAAGTCTGGGCCAGCACCAGGGAGCAGAAGCAGTTTGATTCAAGCCCCAGGAAACAGTCTCAAGGAAGGGCATGGAACCACAGGGGTCGTGGGTGCTCTGGCTCAGTTTCTGTGTTGTCAAGTCCAATACATGGGAAACACGTGGTAACGAGAACACCTCTCTACTTTAGCCACTGAACTCTTTATGTGACAATCCTGACAGACCTGCCTTATGTCCGATTGCACTTTACTATGAATATAGTTAAAAGTACATTCCAGACTTTTGAAATGCTGTAGTAGTATCCCAAGATCCGGAGTTGTAAAAGGGACTTCTTCAATGGAAAAAAGCAAAGATTATATTTAGCTCTTAAACTGGAGGACTTTTTCAGAAAGGCAACAACGTCAAATGAGATTTCTTTATAGCCCTATCAATTATTCAGAGTCACTTAATTACACCCAGACAATACCTGGAGAATGCATATTATTAAGTGATGGGAAGCCATACGCACAGGCACACACACTCATGACCTCTGTCCACATGTACTTCAGCTTAGAAAGCCATTCCGCAAAATTTAACATGTCCTACCTGTCACAATTTTAATGAATTCTTAAGGTCAAGTTAAAAATTCCACCTCCTCCAGGAAGCCTTCTTCAAAGGAAAGTACTATTTCATCCTAGAAACTCCATCAGCACTCCATCTTACATTTCCAATGGTTTACCACTTACTTATGATATTATATGTGAGATTGTATCATCCCTACTAGACAACAGACTCCTTGAGGGTGTAAAGTGTCTAGTTCACTTCTGATTTCTTCACAATGCTTAACCTGCTGTCCTGTGAATACTATACATCTGATTGGCTAACAAATAAACTTGGTCTTAGAATAAGACTGCAAACAGATTTATGTTCTTGGAATATTATAAATCAGCATGCATTTGAGGGCGCCTGGGTGGCTCAGTTGGTTAAGCGACTGCCTTCGGCTCAGGTCATGATCCTGGAGTCCCGGGATCGAGTGCTGCATCGGGCTCCCTGCTCGGCAGGGAGTCTGCTTCTCCCTCTGACCCTCCTCCCTCTCATGCTCTCTGTCTCTCATTCTCTCTCTCTCAAATAAATAAATAAAATCTTTAAAAAAACAAAAACAAAAACAAAAAACAAAAAAAAATCAGCATGCATTTGAAATGTGCCCCGTGTCTTTGGGCCAAATGACTATTTACAAGTTAAATACAGCACATTCATATTTGTGAAAGAGGGTATATGTGTGTATTATCATTGTTAAATGGAAATCTATGGCTCAAAGTCTTTTGGAAAGTACTCTAAGGGGATCAAGTCCTTTCAATTTAAGATACCCAAGCAGAAGGCAACATGCAGTGATAATACTAGACAATCACGTGTGTCTGCTCAATACATTCAATTGTGCAGAATGCAAATGCCAAGAGGGATTAGATGTTAATTGCATACTTCACAAAACTGAAAAAAAAAACGGAATGAGATCATATCTGTAGTTTAAAGAAAAACAAGAATTAAATTTCAAAAATGTTTCAAGGATTCATGTTGGAACTACATCTCTCCTGAATTTTTGAGACACAATACATTCCTGCCAATGAGCCAACGTGGAGGGCTCATTTGTTGGCATTTAAAGGAAATAAGCCAGAAAGGGTTTGCATTTATGCCAAACAAAATATCGTCTTTTTTCCTCACTTTATTTTCTACCTGGGCTCAGAACTTAAAACTCTTACCAGGTTGGAAAAGTCAGATTTGAAGTATTTAAGAAAGTGAAGACTCTGCTTGACTGAGGAAGAAATCTCTGCAGCCAACTCCTTTTCTGGGCTTGCCATCCAAATCCTCCCCTTCCAACTTCCCTGTCTGTCACTGTCCTTGAGTCACTCGGCTGAAACCTGAGAGCCAGCGTTCTCTGCGGGGGCAGTACTCTCCCTCCGGGGCTGCGAAATGGTGGGGGTACTTTTAGTTGTCACGGTTCCTGCGATCTAATGGCTGGGATCCAGGGATGGTAAATGTCCCCCAATGCCTCCGTCTTAGACAATGAAAAGTTGTCCCACTTCCCATGAGACTTTCCAAAGTTCCAGTGGACTTTTTTGTAGGTGAAACCTGTTTATAATTTCTTGAGCACAGAATTTGACTCTTTCACATCCATACCAAAGTTTTTCTGCATGGTTTTTATACACGTTGAATTCTTGGTACTGCGACTCTTGGATAACTGAGGGAAGGCTATATTTCCTTCTGTTTGGGACCTTAACAAGCATCACCCGCCATTCTGGAGAATCGTGTCGCTGAAGGCCGTGTCACTTGTGGTATTTGAGTTATTAGCACAACAAACCCATGTGGGTCTGCATTAGTAGCTGTCACATTTTACATATAGGTGTATCTGACCACATCATTATATCTTCTGGTATAATCATATGTGGGCTTCTACACATTAAAATAAATATTTTAATATTAACCACTTTCTTTGAGTTTTCCTTTATATTACAGGAAAGCATTATGGTGATATTTTCAAAATTATTATTCATTATAAATTATTAATGAATTTCATTTGAGGAGAGTAAAGGGGTTATTAAAATATTGGTCACAATAAAGGGATATTGTTTTGGTGGGATTAAGAACCACTGCTGTACCTGACACAAATTCTATGAGAAGAAATGTTATGTCTTCATGGTGTAGTGAGATCCCTTTGGAACTGTGAGGGCTTAATTAATTAATTAATTTCTCATAAGTAAGCACTGTTAGTTTCATCCTCAAAATGTTTACCTTCTATGTCCCTTCCTCTCTGTTCCCCAGCCACTATCTTGACCCAAGCTCTCATCCAACCTGGTTTCCCAAGACTCTCCACTTCCATAATCATTTATGGGGCCCCATTATGTCTTACCCTCCATGTAGTATACAAATGAATATAATGTAATACTTATCTGCATTTTCACTTCTGTAGTTTATTTATATTGTTAGAGCCTCCCAGAATCTTCTCTTAATCTTTTCCACCCGTGCAAACCCTTCAAAATTTTAGTTCAGTTTCTGAAATTTTCCT